TCGTACATAACTATAGCAAAAATAAATTTGTATGATTTTAGGTGATGTCTTCAAGAGTTTCAATTTATCATGTGGTTTGTAGTCTAATACTACTGATAGTCTGTTTGTTTCTCAGTATTCGTTTGAATTTTCATCCATCAATTTTTCGAATTCATGAAAATAAATTTTATTTTAATTGTTTTGAATGGGAACCTGACAATCATCAACCATCTATCCCATACAACTGTTCACTATATACACAGATAAACAGTTTCGTATGGACTTATGATGGTACTGGAATAATGAAATATATTCAATGGATAATAATACGAAAATTAGGAAATATTAAAATAACTCGATTAAATAACAATTGTCATATTATTCAAGAAAATTATTTCTCTGCAAATTCGACAAACGACATGTTTGTTCAAGTTTACATTATGCCCTTATCAGTTAACTTAACTGATAAATCATATTGTTCAATTAAAATTAATCAACTACTAAGTGTTAATGTAGGACGCATTAATCAAATTTATTTTAAAAGAAAATCTATTAATGCAACATTTTTATTTCAACAATTAGATTTAATGAAAGAGAATTTCAATCTTACTTTCAATTTTAATAATTCTCTCAAAGATAGTTTTAAGAAAGCTAATTATACTGCAAACCGTTTTTTAAGTTATTTCACAGCTATTCCATCTGTTAAATGGACAGTTATCGATTCAGAAGATTTAATTAAAACGAATCTAATCGATTGTGAAAGAATCTTGACAAATTTTATATCATTATTAAAACTTAATACTTTGTCTTCAGAACTACAAAATATAATTCAATATGACTCTTATCAGTTTATTGAAGATTCAACTTGGTGGGATCAATCGAATGTAGCTGAACATATTCTAACAATGTCAATACCATCTCGTCCATCGAATTTAACATATTCTAATGATTTTTATTATTTACATGGTAATCGACCATTTACACAGTATCTATCCGATAATCGGCAATGTTATAACGAAGGTATATTTGCTCAAATGCAGTCTGAAACAATTACAAATCGTACTTCAACTGATGAACCTAATCGATGTTTATCGAAACCATTTGATTGTGCTTTTAGTGATTTATATTCATTTAACGATCGAGAGCAACTATATCAACAATCGAATAAAAAACCACTTAAATGTGGTTTTGCCATTCCATCTATTTTCGATAAAGTTAGAAATCGATATAGTCGTAATCATACATGTCAAACTATAATTTTTACGTGTATTACAAACTGCTATGATCCTCTACCTGGAGTGAAAGGTGAAATCTTACCGTCATTCTGTTTTGTTGCTTTGCTGGACACACGAACACTTAGTGCTTATAAAAAACTCTATTCAATAAATTCTAGTTTCAAATGGGATTTAATTGATTTAGGCATTGATGCTACACCATTTAGTGTTGCTGCAAAATCACCAGAGACATTGAAGATTATTGGACAACGAATGTTTCCATTAGCAAAATGGATTATTTGGATTGACGGCAAAGGAAATATTAATGATATTAGCGGTTTATTAAAAGAAGCAAGGGCTCCAGTCATTGGTGCTCCTCATCCTGATCCAAGACGAACTTCAGCATCTGAAGTGAATCCTACCATTGGTCGTATAAGTATGAGAGAAACAGCATTATCTAAAAGACTCAATAATTCTATACTGGACATTAAACTTCAAGAAAAAGAATATCGACGTGATGGATTTTATTCTCGTTCAGATCAACTCAATTTAAAAATGTATGATATTGCAATATTTTTATATAGAAATAATCATCCGTGTACTGTTCGTTTTTTATGTGGATGGCATAATGAAGTAAATTATTTTTCATATCGAGGACAATTATCAGTTTATTATCCAGCTGTCCGATTGAATTTAACTGATTACTTACATTTTTTACCAAAACGGTTTTATTATACTGTTGGTCATCGTGTAGTTTGTTAGAGATCTATCTATAATTGGAATTCAAATTTTGAAATTAGTATAGTTTATAGAAGAAAAGATTTTATTCGTTTAAGTTTGAATATTACAATGTACAAGTTATGTGCATCGAGATTCTATTCATTTGGTTCTAAGTTGACGCGATAGAGATATGCAGATAAATATATGTATGTAGATGGAAGTATATCGTTATATCAAACTTTTTTTTTTATGCTTATAAAGAAAAAAATCGATTGGGAATACGCTAGACTTTGTCTAATGGAGTTCAGTTTATATATGTAATGTTATTAGTTTTTCTACAGAAATCGTGTCAAACTTTTTGATCGTTGTAAATAGATAAGCAAAATCATTCGTCAGCAACGTGACTTGGCAAAATTAAAACATGTGTGACCATTGGGAACCAAGATTAGTACCTGAAAACCGCCAAAACTTCTTCTGTTCACACGTTTTCTTATTTTTTTTTTGTCTAATTAATCGCTTATATAGTTTTCTAGTATTTGAAGTCAAAAGATTCCTTTTTTAAGATGACCAGATAGTGATTTTCATCGGACATCGTTTTCTATGATCTGTAACACTCGGACATAGGATGACTACTCATATATTGGTGGTTTTAAGATTTTCTTGTCAAGTTCGAAACAAAAGTTTCTGAAACTGAGCTAAATTGTAACCAAAACCTCTATTTCTCAAAGGTGTCAATACTTTTTGGCTCTGTTTGTCGGTAATCGTAATGGTTTGATGTAAAAACTATTGTATTTTGTGTGAGCGATAAAAAGAAACATTTTTTTCTCCCTTCGATTAATTGTTTTTGATGTCACTTAATTTTCATGAAAGCAACCGTCGTTGTCATGATGCCATTAGAATTCAACAAGAAAGACGAAAAAAGAAAGAGAAAAGTAATGTGTGCCCAATTACTGCCAGTGCTGATGGCGCATAAAAGCTATTAGAATTTTGAGTATCAATTATTATTATATTTTGCAACTTTTTCTTTTTTACCAATGCAACAGTCGACGTTCTTATCTTATGCTTTCTCTCTGAGCAAGATGTAAGAAGCTCTACCACGGCTGTTGTTTCACGACGATACGTCTTGCAAGGAGAAAACCGAGGCACAAATATTGGAAATCCTCGCTCCACTGAATGTAAAAGATTTAGTGACTTTTTGCTCTTGAGTGAGTCGTAAAAAGTCCGCTTTTACTTTTCTCGCCTCATTTTCCGTTCCATTTGAATGAACACTTGAAGATGAGTATTCTGAGTAGTAAAAAAATGTTCAATCTCACATCAGAAGTAGGTTTTCTTCGTCATTTTATTTTATTGTTCAATGACTCTGTACTTGCTAAGAATCGTCCATTGACTCCTTAATATGACAAACTTGATGTGTTATTTCTACACGAGAGAAGAAAAACGAACAATACTAAAAATGTTGATGATACAGGTGGATGTACAGCTAGCGTGAATGATTAGATTTCTGATTTTGCTCTACCATTCTTAAGAGACAGTTTTGGGTAATGGAAATACCGTTTGTTGAAGAGAGAAAAAGAGTGCTTCTCGTCTATTATAGGAAAAAAAATGAAATATGTGTTTTTTATGCAAGAAAAATAGAAGAGAGGAAGGACATGTTTATTCTCTCTGGTCCTTGCTCATTTGTATCTATGTTTGCAAAAATTGGAAATCTTTACTTAAGCCGGAAATATTTTTTAATTACTTCTTCAGGGTTGCCCTAAGCGAAGCTTTAATTTTCGACAATGAATTAGGAAAAATACCCGATTGAGTGGCAGAAAGTATATTCATAAACCGTCGGTTTTCCGGATAATAATTTAGTAAAAGATTATTTCTTAGTAAAAAGCCACTCCCAAATGCGCGAAAAGTATTATTCATAAGAGTAGTTTGTACTCTTCCGTTCTGAGGTCCTACAGCTTGCAAGTAACGTTTTTCATGTTTATCTTGAACACGAGTAGCTCTCTATTGGTGCTTAATGGTTTTTCATACATGTTCTTCTTCACTTTTATTCATCACAAATAATATTCAATTTTCTTTTTTATGTTCAATACTTACTCAGTTCAATTACTATGTATAAAATAAGTTGTTAGCACCTACGCGACGATTTATTATCCACGTTTCTCGTCGTTGCTTCTTGTTTTTTTTTCTTTTTCGATATGTTACATTTTTCTTAACGTTCTTTTTTGTCATATCTACTAGCACAAGAAGAAAAGAACTAATGATTCATTAAAAAGATGTTACGATTAGCAAACTTGATTCAGTATGACAAGACGAGTAATTCTTAATTTGCTACATTTTTTATGATGCGCTCTATTCTGTTTTTCAGCGAGCACAATATAGCACAGTTAAGTCGGTATCAAATGGGTTACAAATCTTTTAAATGATGAACTAGTTTATAAAATGCATTGAATTTATTTTTCGAAGGTACATTAAAATAATTGAATAGCAACCTTAACAAGAAATGGGTAGTTCACTGTCACACTCAATCCCAAATTTCGACACAAGAATTCGAACAAAGGATGGACAGATATTTCGAATTTCGTGTTATGATTTGGTTGATCATATCTTGTTGCTTCGTCATGTGATTGCTCAACCGGAATTGACACAAGAAGGACCGACATTAGATTATTTTGTTAATGATTATTGTAGTCGAATGGCTCGTCAAGAAATGCACAGTAAACATCAACAATTGAAACTTCCATTGCAAACTGAATGGATTTGGCACGTTCATCGTCTTCATCCTTTAATCTATCACATCGATTGTACTACACAAGTTCCAGGTGGGAAACTTGTCGACAAAAGAAATTTGGTCAAATTCTACAAAATTCTAGAAGCAAACATGATGCAAAGGTTTCGTTTTCATCAATAAATAGTTATTTAGTATTCGATCCATCAATCGATTTGAGAAAAGTTGTCATTCGTCAACGTGATTTTCTTGAGAAATTCCAAAGACATTATCTCTATTCATTCGATTTAAAAGAAATGAAGCGTTCGCATTTCGAACATTTGATACAGAATTATATGTCATTTATCAAATTGGCTCAAAAAAACAAAATGACTGTGCCAACTTTTGAGATTGATTTAATATGGCATGCACACATGATATATCCATCACAATATCCAAGCGTTTCAACAGCTCTGTGCGGTTTTATTCTTGATCATGATGATGGAATTGAGTCCAATATTTTAACAGATGCTTATAAGACAACTGCTAAACTATGGAAAAAGACTTATAATTCAGAATACGGCCACAGTATTGACCGCAAATGTTTAGAAACATCACAATACATGAGTTCAGGTGCAATGGTTTTCGTGTCAGTTCACATTTCAAGTAATGATGGAGCCTCATCATGTGGACCGATTGAAGGTGGTTGCGGACCGAGTTGTGGTGGTGAAGGCTGTAATGGGGTGGAGGATGTGGAGGTGGTGGTGATTGAGACGCATTAATCGAACAGGAATTATTAGCTTCAAAGACTATAAAGGGTGTGTAATAAGTTCTGATCCTCTTCAAGTGATATTCTTTTCTTATATGTTTTCTTAATAGAATAGGCTGATATTTGCAGCACATATACTAGACATCTAGATCTACACTGCACTGGAATTTCAGCTGTCTATCTCTCATAGTTAGAGAGATACAAGTAACCAAAAATTCATAGAAATTTTAAGGACTATCTATTACAATAGCGCCATATTAAAATAGATCGTTGTTGATCAAAACATCTAAACAAATAACTGAAATATGTACCTATAACAATAAATAAAGTTTATGAATGGGATCATACTGCAAATCGAGATGTATTGTCTGTTGTACATTTAGATGCAGTTTCGATAACCTTTATTAACATTATATGTTTGAGAGTCACCCATTTTTTTTCTGTTAGGTGAAAGCAATGAAAAGAGCGATATCGCTTTAGAAAAGCTTTACCATCAACGGCATTTCTAATGAGAAAAATGACTGCAAATGTATCAGTCATGTCATTAAACAATCCGTTAACATTTTTGTACCATAAATACTCGAGTGCTCATCTGATGTCTTGGATGTTAACTTCATAGAGATTGTCGGTCAGCCATAAACTATACTGTTGAGAAAATAAATTCAAAAGAACTTGGTGAACTCCATTATTTTTCAGACAAAGAGTTTAAAAATGTTGAAATTTGTGTTATAAATGAGTTTTTTATGTCGAACAAAAAAAGATCTTTGTTTTCTACTTCTTCTAAAGGTGAACAGAGGGAATATTAAATTATGTTGCTTTATAGTATTCTTTGTAAGCTATCAACCGCAATATAAAAGAATTTGAAAACGACATGTACATAAGATAATACCTGTAGAAAAATATGTGCAAGTTTTTTTTTGCAAACAACTGTATATGAATGGTTCATCTCGAGAAAACAAATTCTTGCAACGACAGAGGAAATCACACGGAATCGTATTATCAAAGTCAGCATTTGATTCGCTTGATATCTATTTGAATGCTAAAATGTGTGTTTGAGCAAATAGATCTTTCTTGAGTCCAAGAGGCGAAGAAGAGCAATCAAAACGGGCCGTTGAATTTTAATCTAAACGTTCTGTATAGATGATTTCAAATCATTTCATTTAATTCAACTTTCCAATCGAGTATGTACGACAATGATTTTTTGGTTGATTCTATGTTTTAATTTTGCTTATGCAATATAAAGTTACGTTATTAAGAATCGATTGATTTTTAATTAGAGACAAATACGTATTTTTATGTGACGTTAAAATAAACATACAAATACATACGACATTATTTGAGAAGTTAAAATTGATTTTATAAAAACAAAAAAATGGACGGCATTCAAAGAAAAAACTCATCGAAAAATATTTAATCATTCAAGAAAATCATATTGATCGTAGACAACTGTATAACGAGGTATACTCATGCCTACAAAACCTGTTCGTTTAGCACGATCGACTTCACTTGGTGGCATAAAAACAGGTGGAATTGATGGTGTAGGTGCAAATGTAAATTCACTAAACAAGAAAAAAATTAATATACAGTTTAATATTGTTTTAAAATACTACACACGTTGTATCAATTTGTTTAGACATCATCTTTTCTTTACGCAGACGTTCTTTTCTTATTTTATAATCATATTCTTTAGCTAATGTTTGTGGTAATGGATAACGTGTTTCCTTTTCACAAAAAATACTTGAATTTGGACGTTCTTGTGGATTTTCCAATGAAAGTGTCACTTTACTATTAGAAATACTTGCATTAGTCGATGGAGGAGGTAATACAAGTGGATCTGAAAGATAAAATTATCTTTGAAATTAATATATATATATATGTATAGTTTATTAAATTTTTTTTACCTGTATTACCAAATAATTCTTCTTCAACAATACTTTTTTTATTCACCGTTCGATAAACTGATTTTCGTCTATCAAAAAAAAAATAATACTTTGAATAAATTCTTTTTTTTTTCTTTGTATTCTTTTACTTTCGTTGAAAATCCGATGCTAAACGTATATGATCAATTGTCGTAAATATTCCATAATTAAGTGGAGCTCGAAAATAAACACGTCCTCTTAAAGTTCCATCATTATCACCATCTGGAGTAGCTAAATCAATTCCAAGCCATATACCATGTCGTCCTACGATTGGACCTTTATAAAGAACTGTTCCATAAACAATTTTATCATTGCGAAAGACTTCAACACGTTGACCAATAATAATACTTTCATAAGTAAGCATATTTTTATCTAGAAAGCAAAAAAAAATCAGGAGAAAATTGCAAAATTTGATTATTAATTTCAAATTAATTTATTCAATCCGTTTTACGACCAAGTAAAATAAATGTTCCAAAATAAATTTTCATCGGTTCATTTTCATTTTCTGTTTTCATTGCTTTAAACAAACTACATAATAAAAATTTTTAAGAAATTTTTTTTTTTTTTTTCTTTTTTCAAAAATAATCATCTTACTCTTTACGTAAATCAAAAATAATATTTTTATCTGGATATTTTTGCATGTAATGAATATAACCTGACCATGTTGAAACATAAGCTAGAAAACGATCAAGATTCCATTCATATTTTATTTTAACACTTTCATCTCTAACAAAAAGATATTTTAACATATTAAAAAAATATGATAATAGTTTTGTTTGTTTTTATCTTACCGAATTTGTTCTTCATAAGGTAAAATAATATCAGCATATTTCTTATCAATTTGAAGTCGATCCGGTGGAAAATACGGTAATAGCTTTTTGTAGAACTAAACAAATATATTTTGAATTTTTTTTTTTTTAATTAATTATTGAATATACAGTTTGAAAAATTTCATTGAGTTGTGTAGAATTTTCACCATCGATTTTAGGCAATTCATAACCATAAAGAGCTAATACACCCATTTGTTTAAGAGTTCGATTAGCTTCAGAATAAAATTGTTTTAAATCAAACCAATGTGCTGCCTATAAACATCATCAAAGAAATATATTATATTAAAATAAAAAAGAAAATAAAATAATAAACCTGTGCAGCAGTGATTAAACAAAGTGATTTGTTTGCATGTGGTATGGCATTATTTGCACCGACTCTTAACGAAGTATGAATAATTACAAAACAAAGAAAAAGGAATTAAAATATATATAAATTTTACTGATATTCAATATTTGATATTTTATTTTTTGTTTTTGCTTCTTTTATTTGATTTTCACTTACATCATAACCTACAAATAATATTCTTATTTATAATAAAATAATCAAGATATGAATTACCATAGACTTTTTGAAAATAAGGTGATAAAAGTTCCGTACTTTGTCCACTACCACAACCAATATCAACTGCATAATCATATACACCTTTATACTGAGAACAAAAAAAGAATAAGTATTTTACATTGAAATTAAGTTAGAAAAATTATACCTTCATAGCAAGAAAATTAATGATTTTTTCCATTAATTCTGGTGGATATGTTGGTCGAGTTATTGCATAACGAGCTGCATGTTGAGCACCTTCAAAAAAACGTTTTGACATATTGGTTTATCTAGAAATAAAATACAAATCTAATAGTTACTATTTGAATTTTTTTATTTTTGTAGAAAGTAAATCTTTATATATTATTCATTAGTTTTCATCCAGAATCTAATTATATCA